CTTTCTCTCTATAAAATCTATTTTTCCAATGAAAAATAAATCATTTTTTAAAAGAATATTCAAGACAGCAATCTGAAGCTGAATCCTGTGAACAGCCGCGAGCAGAGGCAGAGTGCGATCTGGAGCAAACAGGCTGTGAACTGCCCCCATCTCCACCTTGGCCTCCGACTGGCTGCTCCCGGACCTGGGCCAGACGCAGGAGTGTGGGGCAGATTCAGATTACTAAAGCCTCAGGTTTCTGGCTGAAAGACCAAAACAAAAAGAGATTGGCAAAGAATCAGAAATAACTTGAGAGATCACGGAAGGACAGGAGCTCAGCAAAACAACCCTGACGGCTGTTCCTAAGTCCTGTGTTCTGTGTCCTAAGTTCCTGTGGCACCTGCGTCGGCAGCTTTCTAATCACAGACAGGCTGAGGACAGTGCAGGTCCTCCAGGGACCACTGTGCAACTCTCCGGGGGGACAGCTGACCAGCACTGCAAACATGTTGAAGCCATTCCACACGGAGGGCAGGTCTGAGCCCACAGCCCAAACACAAGCAGGCTGATGGGCTACGGAGACAAATATATCAACTTTTCAGCAACAGTTCCAAACAGGATCTAGAATCTCAGAACACACAAGATGAGCAGTACAACACCCCAAAGCCACTGAACATGCGGAAGAGTAGAAAAAGCAGATAGATGCCAGTAGATTGAGGCAAATTGTGCCCTGTGGGAAGGTCTGCAGGGCAAGGTGAGCTGTGGGGACTCCATTCAGCTGAGTCTGTGTGTGCATGTGCAGAAAGAGGGAAGGCAGAGAACAGCTGACGTACTGTGGGGCACGCTCCGTCGAGTGAACTCCATTATTTACAATGATCACACGACGTAGAGTAAGCAGAATGGGCTTTAGCACGAGGACAGCCATACCCCACACCTAAATCCGGGCTCCACTTCCAGCTAATACTGATCCACTTCCTCTAAAGCAGGTGTACGCGATGAGGCCACAGGAAAGCTGCAGTGACCCGGGCTCATCCAGCCCTCCTGTGAATGCAGCCACTGCAGCATCAGGAGTGCAGCACAGGATGGGAGGTCTCTACTTCCGTCTTGCCTCTCCTGACGCAGTAGAACACATAACATTAAAGATATGACAAAAATGCAAATGTAATTCTTCCCAGAGACTTCCAAAATTACTACTGAATCAAAAGTGACACAAACAAAAACGAAAGCCAAAGAAGATTGTAAGGAGTTATTCGAATATCCCATCCTGGACAGGTGCCATTCCTTCTTCCTGACAGCTCACCAATCAGATGTAACCTGATTTCCACCTGAGAATCCCACCCCCAATCTTCCAGCCGCTTCCCCAACCCCGCCCACTCACCAATCATCCCTAGGCATTCACCTGCAGGCACCATTCCCTGGGGCCTGCCCTCAATGCCTCCCAATCCCCGCCCCTCACACCTGGCAGACAAAAAGGCCCCAGGTGCGGCTCTCTTCTCTTCTTTGCTCTCTCTCTTCTCCCTTTCTCCTCCTTCTGGCCTCCCTTCCCCACCTTCCCTTACCCCATTCCTGCCCCACTGGAATAAACCTCCTAAGATACATCGTTGCATCTGGTGTTTTCGGCTCTCAGTAAAGAACAAGGTTGCGGGAATTAGCTGCACTTAATATCCTATGAACTAGAACTAGAACTCTGACCCTTTTTAAAAAACTAACAAAGATGAGGCTGAAAGGGAAAAAAAAAAAGGCTGCAAGTGACTGCAAGCTGCACACAGAACCTGCACCTGCTCACACAGCACCTGCACCTGCTCACACAGCACCTGCACCTGCTCACACAGCACCTGCACCTGCTCACACAGCACCCGCATCCCTGCTCACACAGCACCTGCACCTGCTCACACAGCATGTGCACCTGCTCACACAGCACCTGCATCCCTGCTCACACAGCACCCGCATCCCTGCTCACACAGCACCTGCACCTGCTCACACAGCACCTGCACCTGCTCACACAGCACCTGCACCTGCTCACACAGCACCGGCATCCCTGCTCACACAGCACCTGCACCTGCTCACACAGCACCTGCACCTGCTCACACAGCACCTGCACCTGCTCACACAGCACCTGCATACCTGCACACACAGCACCTGCACCTGCACACACAGCACCTGCATCCCTGCTCACACAGCACCTGCACCTGCTCACACAGCACCTGCATCCCTGCTCACACAGCACCTGCATACCTGCACACACAGCACCTGCACCTGCACACACAGCACCGGCATCCCTGCTCACACAGCACCCGCATCCCTGCTCACACAGCACCTGCACCTGCTCACACAGCACCTGCACCTGCACACACAGCACCTGCACCTGCACACACAGCACCTGCACCTGCTCACACAGCACCCGCATCCCTGCTCACACAGCACCTGCACCTGCTCACACAGCACCTGCATCCCTGCTCACACAGCACCTGCACCTGCTCACACAGCACCTGCACACACAGCACCTGCACCTGCTCACACAGCACCTGCACCTGCTCACACAGCACCCGCATCCCTGCTCACACAGCACCTGCACCTGCTCACACAGCACCTGCATCCCTGCACACACAGCACCTGCACCTGCTCACACAGCACCTGCACCTGCTCACACAGCACCTGCATCCCTGCTCACACAGCACCTGCATCCCTGCTCACACAGCACCCGCATCCCTGCTCACACAGCACCTGCATACCTGCTCACACAGCACCTGCACCTGCACACACAGCACCTGCACCTGCTCACACAGCACCCGCATCCCTGCTCACACAGCACCTGCACCTGCTCACACAGCACCTGCATACCTGCTCACACAGCACCTGCACCTGCTCACACAGCACCGGCATCCCTGCTCACACAGCACCTGCACCTGCTCACACAGCACCTGCACACACAGCACCTGCACCTGCTCACACAGCACCCGCATCCCTGCTCACACAGCACCTGCACCTGCTCACACAGCACCTGCACCTGCTCACACAGCACCTGCACCTGCTCACACAGCACCTGCATCCCTGCTCACACAGCACCTGCATCCCTGCTCACACAGCACCCGCATCCCTGCTCACACAGCACCTGCACCTGCTCACACAGCACCTGTACCTGCTCACACAGCATGTGCACCTGCTCACACAGCACCTGCATCCATGCTCACACAGCACCTGCACCTGCTCACACAGCACCTGCACCTGCTCACACAGCACCGGCATCCCTGCTCACACAGCACCTGCACCTGCTCACACAGCACCTGCACCTGCTCACACAGCACCGGCATCCCTGCTCACACAGCACCTGCACCTGCTCACACAGCACCTGCATCCCTGCTCACACAGCACCTGCATCCCTGCTCACACAGCACCTGCACCTGCTCACACAGCACCTGCACCTGCTCACACAGCACCTGCACACACAGCACCTGCACCTGCTCACACAGCACCCGCATCCCTGCTCACACAGCACCCGCATCCCTGCTCACACAGCACCTGCACCTGCTCACACAGCACCTGCTCACACAGCACCTGCACCTGCTCACACAGCACCTGCATACCTGCTCACACAGCACCTGCATCCCTGCACACACAGCACCTGCATCCCTGCACACACAGCACCTGCACCTGCTCACACAGCACCTGCACCTGCTCACACAGCACCTGCACCTGCTCACACAGCACCTGCACCTGCTCTCACAGCACCTACCCCTGCTCACACAGCACCTGCATACCTGCACACACAACACCTGCACCTGCTCACACAGCACCTGCACCTGCTCACACAGCACCTGCATTCCCGCAGGTGGAAGCTTAATCAGGTAGACCACAATGTCATCAGCAACAAATGGCTTTAGTTAATATTTGTTTTCTGTGCTTCAGCAAGTGTTCTGTAATGAGAAAATAAGTCTCCTTTCTTTCAATAACATAGAGCCATCTGAAAAGTTGCCTATTGTGTATGCAAGCTTCATCCTAGGTCGGCACTGCAAAGCAGAGGGTTAAGCCATCATCAGGAACCCTTTCATCCCACTGACCCCCAGTGGTTCCAGCCTGCTCTACTTTGGATCACCTACCTAAAATGAGCTTGGGAGAGCAGTGGAAGACAGCTTGAGTTCTTAGGCCCTGCCATTCTGGTGGGAAACTAGATAGCCCAAGCCCAGCCTGAGCTCCAGCCTCAGCCTCAGCCTCAGCCCAGCGCAGACCAGCCCCACAGCAGCCCCTGCCCAGTCTCAGTCTCGGTCCTAAACGGTTGCAGCCATGGAGTAGACCAGCAGATGAGCTTGCTCTAACTCTGCCTTTAAAAAAGAAGAGAAGAGAAGAGAAGAGAAGAGAAGAGAAGAGAAGAGAAGAGAAGAGAAGAGAAGAGAAGAGAAGAGAAGAGAAAAGAAGAGAAGAGAAGAGAAGAGAAGAGAAGAGAAAAGAAGAGAAGAGGAGAGGAGAGGAGAGGAGAGAAGAGAAGAGAAGAGAAGAGAAGAGAAGAGAAGAGAAGAGAAGAGAAGAGAAGAGAAGAGAAGAGAAGAGAAGAGGAGAGGAGAGAAAAGAAGAGAAAAAAGAGAAGAAAAGCAGACCGACTGCTCATGCATGTGGGGGCATTTTCAACGTTCTCATCCAAGCAGAGGACCCCACGGCAGTCAAAGAATGGAGCGGAGCACTGGAGCAGCAGAGGCCCCTGCATGATTCTAGAAGCCACCTTTCTAGCAAACACGTGCAAGGAATATGGGAAACGTGGGGTCCTCCTGCTCTCGGCTCCAGGGTGTGTGGACGTCCAGATAGGAGACCCCCCACTAGCTGGAACTCGTAATGAGAGGGGCTGCAGCGAGCTTGAAAGGGTTTGAAAGGTGTTTGAAAGGGAAGGTGCTCAGTGCACACAGGCAAAACGGAGCAGCACACCGAATGAAATGTACCGAGTGAGGAGTTCCTGGAAGGAGCACACACAGGACAACACGCCAAACTCAAGTGTGAGCACAGAAACCAGCGTTTATCAGAGAGCACCAACTCACAGGATGCTGGGCAGACAGCCTTCCTGTCACCGTTCCAGTCTGATTCCACGTGCAGGAGATGGAGCCCTGTGTCAGGAAGAAGTGGGTTAGCACTATAATGTCACCACCCCTCACCTGCGGGACACACCCATTGCCCTACCCCTCACCTACAGCACACACCCACTGCCACACCCCTCACCTACAGCACACACACCCACTGCCACACCCCTCACCTGCAGCACACACACCCACTGCCACACCCCTCACCTACAGCACACTCCCACTGCCACACCCCTCACCTACAGCACACACAATCACACCCCTCACCTACAGCACACACAGTCACACCCCTCACCTACAACACACACAGTTACACCCCTCACCTACAGCACACACCCACTGCCACACCCCTCACCTACAGCACACACACCGACCGCCACACCCCTCACCTACAGCACACACAATCACACCCCTCACCTACAGCACACACCCACCGCCACACCCCTCACCTGCAGCACACACCCACTTCTTCCCCATAGAGCTTAAGCTGTGTGGCCCAGACTCCAGCCCCAACTCTCCGGGTTACAAGGCTGCTGCCATGAGGGCAGGGATAGGCGAATTTCCCCCTCCCACAGCTGACGTGGGACAGCACACATGACTTTTGTTATTCGCACATCCCATGCTGCGTCAGGCATGTGAGGTGGGACTGTGTGTCACAGACAGGTTCTGTCACTCACTGTGTGACGACAAACAGGTCACCAAACTTCTCTGAGTGCAGTCTGCTTGTGTACAAATGGAAACAATAACATCTCCAGTCAGTGCTCTCCAGAGACGCCATCAGAGGTGTGAAAGCGGGCCAGCTGCACAGCCCACACCATCAATTTCAAGATAGAAGCTCAGCTTCACTACGGAAGCACAGCTCATGCTTCCAGAGTATTAGATGACTTACAGACTTACTAATACGACAGAACTGTGCGTATCTGGGCCCTATAAACCGTTCTTAGTCATACAGTAACTGATGAGCCTCGAGTACCTGTTTCATACATGCTAGCAATCCGTCAACAAACGTCGACTTGATCTTGTGAACCTAAAGGACAAAGCAAGCGTAAGTTTCCAAGTCCACAGAGCTCCTGGTGGCAAGCGGCCGTGCTCCCTCCAGGGCCCGGCAGTGCTCCCTCCCAGGGCCCGGCAGTGCTCCCTCCAGGAGCAATGCTCCCTCCCAGGGCCCGGCAGTGCTCCCTCCAGGGGCCAGCTGCAGGCTGCTGGTGTCCCTCAGATAGCTCTGAAGGTCCCGCAAAGCCCTTTGGAGAGCCAAGGGCTAGCAGAGTCCCACATTAGTGAAGCTTCTCCACCCTGTGAGAGTAAATTATCCCGAAGCAAGGCTAGATTTGCAAATATAAACAGCCAGTCAGTCCTGAACCAGCACTGCACCCTCCAGGGAGCTGTCATGCCTCGCTCCCACGCAGAAACCAGGTGCTCACGGACAGCAGATCACAGCTCAGCAACCAGGGCTGCTGGTGGCACAGGGACGGCAACAATTGCAAACATAGTTTGGAGGCTTATTTTTTTTAATTGTTTTGAAAATGTTTATTTGAAAAGCAGTGTTACAGAGACAGGGAAGGACACAGAGAGAGAGAGAGAGCTCTTCCACCCACTGGATCACTCCCCACATGGCTGCCACAGCAGGGAGGAGCAGGAGCTAGGAGCTTTACCCAGCTCTCCCACATCCACAGGGCTGGATCAGAAGTGAGGAACCAGGACCCGAAACAGCACCCAGACATGAAGCTGGTGTCACAGATGGCAGCTTTACCCACCACACCAAAACGCTGCCCCCCACGCCCCAGAACCTCTGCGTCAGAGAAAACCTGAACGGGCAGAAGAGGAGGGCGGCAGGACGGTGACTCCCTGGTAAACGGGGACACTCCGTGGCAGGACACGCCTGAGTCTTCTCTGGACATGTCTGATTCACGCTGCCCCCCTTCAGAGCAGCGCAGGACACCCCGGGATCCCTTCTATCATCAGCTTCTTACCTGTCTATAGTCCAAAATGATCTTGGGCAGTGGATGAACGTCTCTCAGAGCGTTTAACTGAAAAAAAAAAGTCACCAATTTAAACCTTCCAAACACCTACTTTCAGCTGGAGAAAACTGCAGTGATAAATGATCTAATCAAGCATTTCAAATGAAAATTTATAATAAACTCAGCTAATCAAGTGTCTTTATCCATTCTGTTGCAAAACCATTCTCTTGTTCCCAAGGGAGTTAGAAAAGCAGTTCCCATGAGCTTGCTGTGATTTAAACGAGTGGAATCTAAATCCAGGCAATGCTCTGCCACACAGGGAGCACACGTGTAACTCGACAGCCGGTGTCTGAGTCAGTTACCTGGGCCGGCTTCAGCAAAGCATCGTTGCAATGCAACCATGAGATTCCAAACACTCGTCAAAATGAAAACACACATGCCGGAGAGTGTAACCCAACGAGAACAGTGTGCCGAATGAGCACAAAGTGAACTCACTGTGGGACTGCTGCCCATGTAACCCTACTCTCCTGCCAACCCCTGCCCCTCACCAGCGGCGCCCCTCACACCCTGCCCCTCACCAGCGGCGCCCCTCACACCCTGCCCCTCACCAGCGGCGCCCCTCACACCCTGCCCCTCACCAGCGGCGCCCCTCACACCCTGCCCCTCACCAGCGGCACCCCTCACACCCTGACCCTCACCAGCAGAAGCCATGGCGACCCGTTTCTGAACTTCCCAGTGTGTAATGGGACAGTGCAGACACAATGTGTGGCTTCTACCACTCGATATGAGATTTGAAGGTTGTTCCATTGTGGATGAAGCAGTATTGCACTGAGTTGTATCAACACAGGACAAATACTCACTCATTCTGGATGGTTCTATGGGACCATAGCATAAATAATGCTACAATAGGGCCTGGCACGATAGCATAGTGGTTAAGGTCCTCGCCTTACATGCGCCAGGATCCTCTATGGGCGCCAGTTCTAATCCCCGCAGCCCTGCTTCCCATCCCGCTCCCTGCTTGTGGCCTGGGAAAGCAGTTGAGGACGGCCCAAGTCATCGGGATCCTGCACCTGTGTAGGAAACCTGGAAGAAGCTCCTGGCTTTGGACTGGCTCAGCTCCGGCCTTTGTGCTCACTGGGGGAGTGAACCATCGGATGAAGATCTTCCTCTCTGTTTCTCCTCCTCTGTATATCCTCCTTTCCAATAAAAATAAATAAATCTTTTTAAAAATAATGCTACAATAAAGATTCTGGTGCATAAACTTTAGTTAACTTACTTCCAGGTGTGGAATTTGTTTCTAAATTAGAAGAGAGATATCAGCTCTCCAAGCATACAGCCCACAGTCCTATCAGCAACGCACACAAGGTCCAGTGGCTACACATTGCCACGCACGTTCTCACCGGGCCCACGCCTGCCCACGCACATATTCACTGGGCTCAATTTCTGCTGTTCTGGCAAAGGAGAGGTGATATCTGTCATTTATTTGCAACGCCTAGTGGCTAATAAAACTGGCCACATTTCATGTTTTTGTTGACCAGTCACGTATCTTCTTTCATTCAATCTCTGCTCGTGTCTTTTGTTCTTTTGAAAACCTGGGTTATGTCTCTAGCAGGCCTGTGGTTCCTAGCAGGCCTGTGGTTCCTAGCAGGCCTGTGGTTCCTAGCAGGTCTGTGGTTCCTAGCAGGCCTGTGGTTCCTAGCAGGTCTGTATTATTCTGAACACTTGTTTGCTTTTTGTTTGTCCAGGCTTTATGGTGTCTTTCATAAAGAGAGGTGGACACTCTGGCTTGTCCTGTCTCTCAATCTTTTTTTTTTTTTTAAGATTTATTTATTTTTATTAGAAAGTCAGATATACAGAGAGAAGGAGAGACAGAGAGGAAGATCTTCCGTCTGATGATTCACTCCCCAAGTGACTGCAATGGCTGGTACTGCGCTGATCCAAAGCCAGGAGCTAGGAACTTCCTCCAGGTATCCCACGCGGGTGCAGGGTCCCAAGGCTTTGGGCCGTCCTCGACTGCTTTCCCAGGCCACAAGCAGGGAGCGGGATGAGAAGTGGAGCAGCCAGGATTAGAACCGGTGCCCATATGGGATCCTGGTGTGTTTAAGGCAAGGACTTTAGCCGCTAGGCCACGCTGCCGGGCCCCTGTCTCTCAATCTTGCCCTTTATGGCTGGAGCATTTGGTGTACCATTTACAAAAGCTGAATATGTCCCCATGGTATCTTCTCCAACCTTCACTGCTTTGCCTTCCCTGTTTAGGTACACAACTCACTTGTAATATAATTTTCTGTACAGCATGAAGCGGGGTCAAGATGACTGGCCCTGTATTGTTTGAACAGGCTCTGCTCACTCAGAGCTTTGCAATGTGACCCTTGCCAGAGATCTTTATGCACAGATATGGGAGCTTGTGGATCTTTATCTTTTAAGATGTACTGCCATTTGAAAGGCAGAGGCAAAGAGAAAGAGATCTTCCATCTGTTGGCTCACTCCCCAAATGGCTGCAGCCGCTGGGCCCGAGACCGAGAGCTGGGAGCTCCATCTAGGTCTCTCAGAAAGCTGCAGGTTCACAGTGCTTGGGCCCCCCCCCCCGCCCCCACTGCCTCCCCAGTGCTTGGGCCACCCCCCGCTGCCTCCCCAGTGCTTGGGCCACCCCCCGCTGCCTCCCCAGTGCTTGGGCCACCCCCCGCTGCCTCCCCAGTGCTTGGGCCACCCCCCACTGCCTCCCCAGGCACATGGAGCAGGAAGCTGGATCTGAAGGGGAGCTGCCACTGTGTGACACAGAGCTTGGTGTCACAACTGATGAGCTGTGTCACACTGCCAGTCCCTCGTGTGTGGATCTTCTTGGTCTGCCGGCCTAGTTGCTTATCTCTGAGCCTGCATTAAGTGACATTACTTAATTTCTAGCAACTCCAATTGCTTTATGCTTAGTTTTCATGTCTAACAGACTAAGTCCTCCTAAGATGACCCTGCTCTTGTTAGTTTTCTGCATTTCCACAGAAATCCTGGAATAAACTTGTTAATTTCTAACCTAAAGACTCCTTGCTCAGTTTATTTAGGATGATTTAGGACCCATAGATCAACATGAGGGAGAACTAATGACATGATTTTAACAAGAGCCCAGAGAATGCCTTCTGTCCTGGGGTCGGGGTCAATCCTGGCTCAGTGCCATCCAGAACGCCACTGTCTCAGAAAAGCTCTCCCAACGGGAACAAAACGGAGGCAAGCACTTTGCCAAGAACTCTTTCCTTGACACCTTTCTAACCAGGTCTGGGGACGTGCTGGCTGAAGCAGCCCAAGAACACTGGAAGAGAACCACATGGCTGATCATCAAACACTGTGGACAAAGGACCCCGAGCACTGGCCAAGGCCCAGGCAGGGGCCACGCTGCCTGCGTGAGGCGCTCTGCTGGCTGCTGACAGCCACGCCAGAGTCTCTCCTTTGGGCCTCCTCCCTCTGCTGTCCATCTGTCAGTCTCTTGGTGTTGGACTCTGCCTGTCACAATTGCCCACACATGAGAACCAGTCAGGAAGCTTCAAGAACTGACCGGGCCACCTCCAGTTTTCACCTGGTCACCCGCCGGTCTTGACCTGGTCACCCGATGGTCCTGACCTGATGGGTCGGCTGTGGGCCTTCAGACTTCATGCCATGCATGTTCTTGCTGCAGGACCAATGTTTCCAGGGTAACTGCACAAAACCACGTGTGTACCTGAGCCACCTAGGTGCCTCTTGCGCCACCCCTCACCCCTGTTCCGTGAGTAGCGGGCCTGCCCAGATGCTTACTGTGGTACTCCCGGAACTAGTCACATCCTGGTTGTTCACCCTGATGTGAACATGTCTGGAAATGCTTTCTACTCTAAAAGTGTTCTGAAAATCCAGTTAGCTTCATCTTTTGATTGTCACCTGGACTAGTGGCACCTGCTCCAGGATCAAGTGACAACTTATTAGCAAGTCTCCTCCATTCTCTAACCAGCTGTAGCACTGATTGTTTTAAAATGTATGGGGCAGTGGGGAGGAGCGGCGGGCCCTGTGGCATAGCAAGTAGAGGCCTGGGCTGCAGTGCTGGGATCCCACACGGCCGCCAGGGCGTGTTCCAGCTTCCTGCTGACGCTCCTGGGAAAGCAGCAGCGGATCACTCAAGTCCATGGTCCCTTGCACCCACAGGGGAGACCCGGATGAAGCTCCTGGCTTTGGTCTGGCCCAGCGCTGGCCAATGCGGCCATGTGGGAGACTGGAGGAACGGATGGAAGGCCTTTCTCTCTCCCTCTCGCTCTCTATAACTCTGCCTTCCAAATACACAGACAGACAGACACACACATACTCACACCCACTCTCTTACACATACACACACACACACTTTCACTCACACCCACACTCTCACACACTCACACTCACACCTACTCACACACTCTCACTCACACACTCACACCCACACACACACCTCAAGGGCAGAAGTGTGCAGGAGGTTAAGCTGCCACCTATACCACTTATTAGAACATGAGTTCCAGTTCAGGGTGCTCCACTTCTGATCCAACTTCCTGCAAGTGTGCCTGAAAAGACAGATTAGACATCCGGGCCTCTGTTATTCACATATGAGGCCCAGATGGAGTTCCGGGGTCCCGGCTTTGGCCTAGCCCTTCCCAAGTCATTAAGGCTATTTGAGAAGTGGATCTGTGGATAAAAGATCTCTTTTCCTCTGTCTCCCTAATATTGTTTCAAAAATTAATAAATCTTTAAGAAAATCAAAACTAAAAACATATCTAATACCTATTGTGCTTCACCTACGGTGCAAATGTAAAACAATGACATTGTGAAGTCCGGCTAGGAAGGGTAGCAGAGGAAGCGCTCACTGCTGGCGGGAACGCAAAATCGGTGCAGTGACTCCGGAAAATGGCCTCTTTCTCAATAAACCATACAGCTGTAGCACACAGTCCAGCAGTTGCACATCTTACTATTTTTTAAAAAATGAAAACCTATGTCCACACAAGAATGTGTGCATAGATAATTATGGCTGCTCTGTTCTCAACTGTCAACGCTGGGAAGCAGCCAAGCAGGCCTGTAGTAAATGAACACATTATCTAGAACACTGGAGGAGTGGCCTACTATTCCATACTAAAGAGAAATGAGCCACCGAGACATGAAAAGACACAAAAAGTGGAATGCATGCTACTGAGTGAAGGACACTCCATAGTCTATTATTCCAACAATACAATATTCTAGAAAAGGGAAACCATAGAGAGAAAACAACCACGAGGCGCCAGGGGTTAGGTAACAAAAGGTTTTTACGGCAATGAAACCACTCTGTATGTTGCAGAACCCACAGAACATCCAGGAGCAAAAGTGAGCCCTAACAAACTACTGGCCGTGGGTGATACTGCTGAGCCAAAGGGGTTCATCAAGTGCTCCACTCTGGTAGGGAATGCTGACCACGGGGAAGACCACGTGCAGGGGCAGGTGGCATCTGGGACTCCAGGACTTGGTCCAGCTGTCCACCTCTGAGAACACGTGACTGTCCCTAAGAAAAGTGAAGCTCTTTTCAGTTTGATAAAGTTGGAACCACATTCCCCACTCCTTGTCAGTCCAGCGACAGGTAAGAATTTCTGCTCTTCCCCAGCAGCATCGAGTGAGGGAGAAGTGAGCTGGACACAGTGTTCTAGAGACCACCACCCTGCACGGTGCCAGAAGGCTCCCACTGTGAGCCTATGGAGGCAGCCAGTGCACACTGATGGGCCAGAGACCTGAGCCCACAGGTGGAGCTCTCTGACTGCAGTGTGTTTAACTTAGACTCAGTCATGAAGAACACCTGGGAAGTCCCCATACATTTGTAGACTTTAAGGCCCCTACACAACGCAGGGGCAAAAAATTATGTCAGAAATAAAAACAATGAGGACTTAATAAGAAACCAGCACTGGTCAAGGCTCAAGACTGGCTCCACGATTCACCGAGCAGCTCTGCTTACATGCTGCTCCAGGCACCGGGACCCTCCCTCACTCAGAGGGGCAGTGCCTGCCGAGACTGGCCCTAATACACTCAGGGGTGCCAGGCAGTGACAATCCGTGTGTGAGGCCTGGGCCCATCCCTGGCTCAGGGAACAAGGGGAGGATGAGGCAGGTGGCAGGAGACGGTTAGGAAGTCTGCCGGTCCCCACAGTCTCTGGGAGAGGCTGCAGGAGATGGGCAAGCAGGAGGAGTCCTAGCTTCTTTCAACACCCAGACTGAGTCCACAGGACTAACTCGTCTGAGATGATGTAAATCAGGTCTTTGCAGAGAAAGCAAGTCACCTCAGCGGAATCCTCATTCTAGCTCCGCTGGCAGGCGAGCACCTGGGCCAGGAAGAGAGCTACAGCGCCTTCCTTCCACCACAAGCAGGCAGGGGAAGGGCAACAGTGCCGAGTGGTGCCAGGACAGGTAAGGAACTGACAGCTTCCGAGGAGCACAGGCCCGGCTCGAGGCTGGGGGCCGGCTCTGCACAGCTGTTGGGGTCGCGGGGCTCACTGCCCACATGGCTCTGCTAAGAGACTCAGCCCTCAGACGCTCCACATGGAGAAGCTCCCAGCAGCCCCCTGCGCCTCAGGGCTCCAGGATCAAACCAGAGGCATCGGTGGGCCCGGCGCGGTGGCGCAAGTGGTTAAAGGTCCTCACCTTGCACGCCCGGGATCCCATATGGGCGCCGGTTCTAATCCTGGCAGCCCCGCTTCCCTTCCAGCTCCCTGCCTGTGGCCCAGGAAGCAGTCGAGGACGGCCCAAAGCTTTGGGAACCTGCACCTGCGTGGGAGGCCCAGAAGAGGCTCCTGGCTTTGGATCGGCATAGTATCGGCCCGTTGCGCTCACTTGGGGAGTGAATCATCAGACAGAAGATCTTCCTCTCTGTCTCTCCTCTCTGTATATCCGCCTTTCCAATGGAAAAATAATAAAAATAAATCTTTAAAAAAAAAAAAAAACCAGAGGCATCGGGCTCAGCTCAACTCAGCGAAGAGGCTGATTTTAAGCCATTTTGGTTCTCGGAACAAAGAGCGGTCTTTCATCTGTGTAACCTAACTTCTGGTGAGATAAGCAAACCAACACGTAAGCTAACCTTAGATGACGGCAGCCAGGAGGCTCACTGGAGCCTTTCTGGGCGGACGGAAGAGGTTTTCCAAAGACAAGCAGAAACCACTGGGCTGACCTGGTCAGGTGCAGCCTGGGGACCTAGGAAGATGTATAGAAAGTTGTGTGGCCAGTGTGGTCACAGGGGAGAGGCAGGGCCCGGCCCAGGGCCTGGGTCTGACTAGGTTTTTTGGAAAGCACTGGAAGCTCTAATCAAGGCAGGGTATGATATGATGTTTTTAAAAGCAAGCTCTGCCTAATGTGAGGCCTGACCAGCTGGGGGTGGGAGAGGAAAGCAGGGGACTGGTTACGAACTCTGGAACAATTCAAATGAGAGGAGAGGAAGGTGGGGCAAGTACTGGAAATGTTTTGTAGACTAGGTGTCTGGACGGAGCAGCTGATGACAACAGGCCACACTCGGTGGGTTTTGGAGCACTTCCTGTCAGACTCAGCTCTCCTAAGTTCTGCTGTCAACAGACACACAGTTGTATTCCGAGCTCCAGGCAGACCACAGCGTTTGAAGAGGGCAGTTCCAAGTTCCCTCAGAGGGGCATCCTTGCCAGGAGGCCGGTTCTCACCCAGCACTGCCCCCGGTCTGAGAGCCTGGGGCCTCGTGAGACCCTGGCTCTAAGGTGTCGCAACAGAGCTGGGGGCGGGGGTGGGGTGGCCAGAGAAGTCCTCTCAGAAGGAAACTTGTCTGCTACGGTCAGCTGCTGGCCAGCACACAGTCCTGCTGGGAGCGTCAGGCTGCCTCTGAGCACCTGTCTGAACACACTCACTGCTGAGCTCCACTCAGGACCCTCTCAGTACAAGTGCTCGCTGTCTAGATGCCTTCTAACAGAGCTGAATCTCAATACTCTTGTTCACTTAAAAAATGTACTCCTCTTCAGATGGCGGTCCATCGAACCTGCAGAGGACACCTGGTACCACAACAGAGAACGGAGGACAGAACAAATTGATCAACTACCCCAGCCATATGTTGGCAGTGAAATCTGGGCAAACAGAGACTCTAAGGTAGACTATGTCAGCCAGTGGATGCTGGAGACATTGCATCGTGCTTGGAATGGTGAGATTGGCAGCAATTCAGAACTGTTGAACTGTCACAACCACTTGAGCAGCGAGCGCCCTTGGAACATGCCCCACGTTGGGGACCCTGGGATGGAGTGGGAGGCTGGGTGGGGCTTCTCCCTTTATCTCTCCCCTTACGTCAGATCTACAAAAAAAATAATGTGGAAACAATGGTCTTACCCACTTTCCTGTAGCCCTTGACCTTTTGTGCCCTAATCAACTACGTAAAGATTTTCAAAATAAAATAATAATTTTTAAAAATGTACTTGTCTCTGGGCCTGGCAGCGTGGACTAGCGGCTAAATTCCTTGCCTTGAATGCACCAGGATCCCATATGGGCGCTGGTTCTAATCCCGGCAGCTTCACTTCCCATCCAGCTCCCTGCTTGTGGCCTGGGAAAGCAGTCGAGGACGGCCCAAGGCCTTGGGACCCTGCACCCACGTGGGAGACCCAGATGAGGCTCCTGGCTTGGGATTGGCACAGCACTGGCCTTTTTGGTCACTTGGGGAGTGAATCATCAGGCAGAAGATCTTTCTGTCTCTCCTCCTCTCTGTATATCTGACTTTCCAATAAAAATAAAATAAATCTTAAAAAAAAAAAAAAACGTACTTGTCTCAAGAGACAGGCAGGTGATTCTTTGAAACAAATCTGTGGAAAAAACAAGACTTACGACCTCTCCATTATCCATCTCCTTTGGGGAAATGAAGCAGAGAGGTTGGGAGTGGGCTGTCAGGAATCTGATTCTAAGAAGTAAACTTCACCAAATGTTCTTCTGCAGGAAGTCGAGCGGGCCCATTGCTTATGGAGGAGCAGCCTGCCTGCTGCGTTCTCCGCAAGCCATGGCTGGGAGAGCCAGCTCAGGCTGGAGTCGGGAACCTGAAGGCTGGCCCTCCCTAGAAGAGTGGGAGATTTGACACGAGCCACAGATGTGCTGTCATTTCAAAGATAATCCAGGAGCTTACCACGGCTTCCGATGTGGACGGCTGCCTCTGCAGCTCTGTTCTAGGGAGAGCCCTTTGACTCAGCAGGTGCAGCTGTAACTTGCCGAAGAGAATCTTCAACGGACGCATTTTCAAGTGTCGAGGGTTCCAGGTTGGAGAGAAACAACATGCCCGTGACACAGTGAACGGCCCCGGCAGAGAAGACACCAGACACAGACATTACAGAATGCCCAAATGCTGACTCAGTGATCCGAAGACCTTTCCTCATGGCTTATCAGTTACAGAGAGAGGATGAGAGAGATGGACCCCAGCTGCCGGTTCACCCCTAAATGGCCACGTCAGCCGGGGCTGGGCCTCTGGGAGCTCCGTTCTGAGCTCTTCCCAAGTGCTCGGCCATCCTTCTCCGCCTTCGTGGATACAGTCGGACGCAGAGCAGTCGGGACTGGAACCTTTGCTCATATGGGTTACCGCTGTCATGAAGTGTAATCCACCACGTCCTAACAGCAGCCCCAACACGAAGGCTTGGAAGGAAGAACCTTAACATGCTCTCACTCAGAGAACACAAACAACCTACACATTTTTTCAGATAACATAAATAAAACTTGTGTATTCAGACTAATCTACCCTATTTCCTGAATAAGAATCGTGCTTTTTCGTGGCACTGTGGCACAGATCATGCTGCCCTGCAATGCCAGCAGCCCACAGGGGCACCAGTTTGAGTCCCGGCTGCTCCACCTGTGACCCAGTTCCATGGTTGTGTGCCTCAGGAAGCAGCAGAGATGGCTCAAGCGCTTGGGCTCCGGCACCCACGTGGGAGACCCAGCGGAGGCTCCTGGTCCCTGGGGTCACACCAGCCCATCTCTGGCTATTATGGCCATTTGGGAGTGAATCAGCAAAAGCAAGATCTCTCTCTATTTCTCCCTCAGTCTCTGTAACACTGCATTTCAAATAAAATACCTTTAAAAATCAATGCTTTCTTTAAAACAGTAATTGCATTTTCCTGGAGAACCCACTTACCTCTCGCAGCTGGCTGCTACTCGTTATGAGAAACCTTTCGCCCGCCACAAAATGGGCTTCTTGCTCCAGCTCCCTGAGACGGGCCTGGCGAGGCACAGAACACAGCTAACTCACCAACAGCTCTCATTTAAAATTACTTAATCCACTCACCAACATCCCAAGTCCTGAATGGAATAAAAAAAAATCCACAATGGCTCAAAATGGGCTTTAAAAAGATCTACTTTGACTCATCACGACTACTCAAGGACTCACAGAATTATGTTTCCGAAGACTAAAGGAAAAAAGAGAGAGAGAGAGAGAGACAAGACGACAGAGTGAGGCGAGTGTGAATCCCCCAGCAAAGTCAGGACCAGAACGTAACCACATCACAAAACAGCGAGGGGGCCAGGCCATCCGATAAATCAGTAAGGCAAAACAGAAAAATGCAATAAACACAGAATAGACAGATCTTTCATAACAGCAGAAATTTCCTAACAGCCAGTGACGACATGAAAGAGCTCCCTGACCTCAGCAGAAATGAGACCTTCAGGAGACAGCACGCGTCTTCACCCCAGGGAGGCAATGCAAAGCTCTCACACAGCCTGCACGCCTCAGGGAGGCCCGAGAACAGGACACCCCGTCATGCAGCGTGTGCTGGGGCCCGGTGCTGCAAGCAGTGCTGTATGTGCTATAGCTGAGCAGCAGGGCCTGGTGCCTGGCCCTGTCTCAAACCCCGAAAACCTCTGTCCACTCAGGCAAGGCTGGGAGAGATGCCACAACACAGCACGCCAGACCTCTGCCTGCAGTGCCAGCACACCATAAAAACACAGGTTTCAGTCCCAGATACTCCATTTCTGATCCAGCTCCTGGCTAATGTGCCTAGGAAAGCAGCAGAGGATGGTCCAAGTGCTTGGTTTGTGAGAGGACCCTGAGGATCTACTAAAAAACACACCACCCTCTGTCCTGCCAACACACACACGTGTACACACACACACACACGTATACACACACACACACACACACACACACACACACACACACACGATGGGCAGGCGCTGCACTGAGACTCGGATCAGAGAACCTGGAGTTGATACTCAACCCCAGCTTACGACTCTAGTTTCCTGCAAACGCCGCAGACCCAGGAGCTGCCATCTGGTCACTAACTCGGTCCCTGTCGCCCACCTGACAGACGCACAAGGAGTTCCTGGCTTCCACAGCGCAGCCTCTGTCACTGTCATCTGGGGCATGAGCCAGCAGCTGGGACCATCTCTCTTCTGACTGATAGATAAATGAGCCATTCAACAACTAGTCTCCCCTCCGGGAATACAGACAGTAACACTGCCAAGGGCAGTGTGGGGAGGGCAGTGCACCCACTCAGCCCTTGCCCCCCAAGTGTTGCAGAGCGTGGGCACCTGCACGCGGGACTCACCCCAAGCAGGGTCGATGTCCTCTTCATCTCGTCTATGTCCACCTGAATGCTGTGACTTTCCATCACTGGGAATCAAAATCCAAAACAGAGCACCTTGTCACTGCCCGAGGAGCCCCTTGTACAGAGAACACCGCCTCCCTCTCAGCCACCCCTCCCTCAGCACCTGCCGAGTGCCCTCTCCTGCAGGGACTCTCAGGATGCCCTGAGCTGGGACACAGGAGCACTGCCAGCAGCTCTTGCAGAGGGTGGTGGACGGAGCTCAGCACTGCCAACCCCAGCTGGCCCCTGTATGGACTCCTGCTTTGTGGCACCCAGAGAACCTGGCAGAGGTCAAGGCAGAAGAGAACCCTGCAGGGTGCTTTCTGGAAGCTTCTCCATCAGCTCAATGAGGCAGAGGGTTATCACAAGAGCAAGGCCAGAACAGAGACAACCGCCAACAGGCAAACCGTCTGGTGAGGCCTCCTCCTGGGCTCCTCCTCCTCCCACAGGACTGAAACGCTGGACCTGGCCAGACCTCTGGACCAACCCTGCTGCTGAAGGGGATCTGAAGAGCTTGTTAGCTCTTCAGTACCTGTAGGACACAGCACCATCTATCTAAGCTAGAAAGGAAAGTGCCTGCCTGCACCTCTATAACTTACCTGCCAATACTGGTATCAGAGGAAGCTCCAAAGTCCAAAACAGTTGCCATAGACCATAAGCCTGTTAGAAGAAAGGCTGTCAGGGTTGATTTACAGTGCTGTTTCCCTTTTTGCTTTTTTCAAAGATTTATTTTCATTACAAAGTCAGATATACAGAGAGGAGGAGACACAGAGAGGAAGATCTTCCATCTGATGATTCACTCCCCAAGTGACCACAAAGGCCAGTGCTGCACCCATCCGAAGCCAGGAGCTAGGACCTCCTCTGGGTCTCCCACCAGGTGCAGGGTCCCAATGACTTGGGCTGTTCTCTACTGCTTTCTCAGGCCACAGGCAGGGAGCTAGATGGAGCAGCTGGGATTAGAACCAGCACCCATATGGGATCCCGGAGTTTTCAAGGTGAGGACTTTAGCCGCTAGGCCATTTCATAGAGGCAGAGCACATACTTCTGGCTCTGGTTAATGCCCTCAATGTGTGCACCAGCTGGAGCTCGACCAGGAACTCAATCCTGTCTCCCGCCTGGGCCGCAGGGACCCAATCACATGAGCCAGCACCCCCTGACTCCCAGGTCTGCAACAGGGGAAAGCTGGAATCCCACCGAGACTCTCCCACATCGGAGGACCGCATCTTAACTGGCATCTTAACAGCTGCCAAACCTGATGCATCTGGAAGAACCTTATTATTTCCGCTGAGCATGGTGAGGCGTTGGGGTCCATGCAGTGGATGTAGAGGACACGAAGGTGTGAAGAGTATTGTTCCATTGCAGGCAGGACCGCAGGGAACTTCCCGCTGTTTGGCAGGGCCAGTGGACGTCTCTGTAGCCACCTGAATGCAGCTCCACCTTCTTTTGCATGGACACCGGACCACCCTGCCAGGGAATTCTAATCCACCCAGGCATTGTTTGCTACTGTGGGGCTGGCCTTTTGCTCAGTGTGAGCCTGGAGGTTTATGTCAATAGTAATGTCTTGCAAAAGGGCCTTCTGTTATTCCTACTGTCCTGGCTGTCCCCATTGACTTTATGCTAATCAAGGGACCTATATTTAGGGCTTCATTCTTTCCTCATTCTTTAGGTTCCCCTTTTCTTTGTGATACAAGATTGAGTTGTAGGATGAGAATTGTAGCAGGAACTTCTATTGTTTCTAGGTAAAACTAATGGCAGAATTATCCTTAGAAACACCCACTTGACCATGACGTAAAAAGTCTGAGCCAGAGTTTGATCGGTTTTGTATAAATAAAGCGGACAGCTTTCCCGCATTGTCCACTATGATCATGAAATCCTAGTGGTCCGTCTTTCTTTCCTCTTTGTGCCTCATCCACGCACCCTTCGCGAGTTCCGAACTCAGCTGGAGCTGGACTCCAGCAGTGAGGTTCCTATGCAGCATCACTCTGCTCCCTGGGCTTCCTCAAAAAGCCTCCTACTCCAGGCCCGGCATCCTCGCCTTGCACACACCGGGATCCCATCTGGGCGCCAGTTCATGTCCCAGCTGCTCCACTTCCCTTCCAGCTCCCTGCTCACGGCCTGGGAAAGCTGTCCCAAAGGACGGCCCAAAGCCTTAGGACCCTGAATCCATGTGGGAGACCTAGAAGAAGCTCCTGGCTCCTGGCTTCAGATCAGCTCAGCTCTGACCGTTTTTGCCACTTGGGGAGTGAACTAGCAGAAGGGAAATCTTTATTTCTGTCTCTGCTTCTTTGTATATCTGCCTTTCCAATAAAAATAAATTAATCTTAAAAAAAAAACCAAAACACCTATTTCCGTTAAGTATGCTATTGCATTGCTAGACTCAGTCGAGATATTTGGAAACACGTGTCAGGCCACCCCATCCCCAGTCTTCTTTCACCTTGCTCCTCGTTGAGCTTGCCTAATGCTGTGGACTTTCAGTCCTCCATCTTTAGCTCCAAACAGACTTCCTGAATTTGTGTTTCCTGAACTCTGCACGGGCACACGGGCCCCCCAGGCGGCCCCCCTCCGAGGGTACAGTCCTGCGTTGGGGCTTTGACGTTCTCGGACCCCCCCAGCATTCCTTGCTAAGACCACAAGGGAGTCCCCGGGCCTCCCTCTCAGCCCTGCCCTGCCCTTAGAGCTAACCCACCGGCTGCACTGCCCTCAAATGGACAACAGAGAGAAAGCCAGCACACACCAGCTGCCCCTGGAGCCCAAGGGTGCTGGCCCCAGCGGAGTCTGTCTCCCTGGTTCCCATCACCCCACCCTCCCTCAGACACCATCTCTTCCCTGTCTCACCCTGCGGCCATCTGCCTCCCAGAAAGGAGAGACTGACAGAGTAGTGTTTGTCTCTCTACTGTCCAAGTTAAACCTCAGCTTTTATGTGAACTGTAGCATCAGAAATATTCCCGCTCCGGGGATAGGGAGTTCTGGGGAATCATGCCGTCTGCTCCACATTCAGACAGTGCCTAGAAAGGCAGCCCTTACACCAAGCAAGCTCACAGAAAGTCTTACCTTCAGTTGGGAACAAAGCTGCATGGTAAGTCTGTGGAGTAGCCTCAGATTCACACATACATTCTGATTCTTTAAAACAGCAAAAATATTTTTTAAATTAGGTAAATCTGGTGGCAACATTTCTTGCAGTCTAAGGATTGATACAACTTGCTCAAACATCTCCTAGTGTGACCTGTAAAGTGCTTTTTAAATGCACACACAGCCCGGGGCAGGGGTTAAAGGGGGTCCTCTGTCCCCCATTCATGTACAAGCTTCCAACAGCAACTGTGGTCACTGCCGTCCCTCATGCAGGTGTGTTCCAGAGTGTGAAGAAGTCAAGCACACACCATCTAGATCTGCGCGCTTCCTGCCGACCCTCGGGTGTTAGTCCTACAGAATGAGTGATGCAAGGCACTTTTTAAAAATGTCTGAGAACATGAAATCAAAAGATTCTTATTGTATGGGCTGGCACTGTGACGTGGCAGGAGGAATCACCGCCTACTACACTGGCATCCCACTCTGAAGCCCCAGTTCAGGAACGAGTCCCTGTGAAGGTGTGTGGGGACGCAGCTGCAGGCTGCCTCAGTGCCTGGGCACCTGCGGCTCATGTGGGAGCTCAGAGACGGGATGCACGCCAGGTTCTCCATGCCAGTCGGTCCCAGCCCCTGCCATGTGGTCATCTGCAGGGTGAAGCAGCAGATGGAAGATCTTTCTCTTACTCTCATCCCTTTAATTCTTTTTAAAAATGTATTTAGTTATTTTTATTTGAAAGGTAGATTTTACAGAGAGAGAAGGAGAGATAGAGAAAGTCTTCCATCTGCTGGTTCACTCCCCAAATGGCCACAATGCCCATAAGGAAGTTGATCCAAAGCCAGGAGCCAGGAGCTTCCTCTAGGTTCCAAAGCTCTGGACCTCCCACGTGGGTAGGGTACCGAGGCTCTGGGCCTCTCACGCAGGGCAGGGTCCTAAGGCTCTGGGCCTCCCAGGCGGGGCAGGATCCTAAGGCTCTGGGTCATCCTCTGCTGCTCTCCAAGGCCCTAGGCAGACAGGTTTATTGCAAGTAGAGCAACTGGGACTCCAACTGCTGCCCATACGGGATGCTGGTGCTACCGGGCAGAGGATTAGCCTACCAAGTACTGAGTCACGATGCCAGACCCTCTCTCTTTCTCCCTGTAACTCTGCCTTTCAAATAAATAAATCTTTAAAAGCAAAATATTTAGCATTTAGTGTCTTAGAATAAGAAAACACAAAGTAATGCTATGATCTAGGAAGCTCAGATAAACCCGTCTCACTCTGTCTCAGGCTGCCTTTGCAAATGAATGAATCTTACAAAAATTGGAGTGGAATAAGTGAAAATTTATGTTGACAATGTTTTACACTTGACCACCTACGGAATAGAAAATCTTTCTAGAAAAATATTAGAATTACATTAAGATTGGTAAAACAACCCACCGACAGGCAACTATTTTGTTCTCTGTGCGTTGGGCACAGATTAGGGAAACACCGTGTCTGTCCTCTGGGGACTGCTTGTCTCACCAAGCACAGTGGCCTTCAAGTGGTTCCAATCTGCTTCGTTCTTTATGGCTCAGTGATGCTTCCCAGTGTAGCAGCGTGTTTCCGTCCGCAGTCAGCTGACGGCGGCTAGCAGACTGTCGCGGCCACAGTGCTATGGATAACGCCGCCCCGTCTGATCACGTGCCAGCACTGGGAAGGCTGGCTCACACCGACACGTGACTCCTGCCCTGCTGACAGCAGTTACGACGGCAGGTTGCCCTGTAAGCCCTTATGTTTACTCCTGAGCAACAGAGCATCTTGATTGTGTTTGCTATTTTCACGTTTCCTACTTGTCATCTGCTGATACTGTTAAGTGAGTATTAAAGAGTGGAAACACACAGAGGATTAAAACAAAAAGAGCTCACCACCACGCTTCTCGAGGAGTTCCTGTAAGTGCTGCCCACATGAACTGTGACGGATTTCTCAAGGTATTTTGCCGCTAACTTTTCAAAGGAGAGTGTGGCATCTCTGGGGTCTATAAGCCATGCAGCAATTCTGGGGTCAAGGCCTACAAAGTCAGCAACTAAACAGGAAAGAGGTCACTCAGTCACCGCTAAGGAGAACAAGTGAGCATTGCTTCTCCCGCTCGGACAAGATTTTTAAGGTTCAGAAGGAAACTAAGAAAATGACAGAAGCTATGAAAATAAACAAGCCAGAACTGGAGCTACGTATGGGTCTGGCACAGTGGCGCAGCTGGTTAACCCAGAATCCCATATGGGTGCCAGTTCAAGTCATGGCTACCCTCGTCCTAAGATTTAGTCTGTTCTATTGTGCTCTATTCTATCCTATTGTGTTCTATTTCGTTCAATTGTGTTCTATTTCATTCTATCGTGTTCTATTCCGTTCTACAGTTTCTTATTCTTATTTGAAAAGCATAGTTACAAACAGAAGGAAGCACACAGAGAGAGGCCTTCCATCTGCTGGTTCACTTCCCAAATGCCTACAATGGCTGGAGCTAAGCAGATCCGAAGCCAGGAGCCAGGAGCTTCTTCCAGATCTCCCACACAGGTGCAGGGGCCCAAGGACTTGGGCCATCTTCTGCTGACTGACTTCCCAGGCTATAAAGAGAGAGCTCAGTCAGGACTGGAACAGCCAGGACATGGACTGGCACCCGTGTGGGTGGCTGGTGCTGCAGGTGGCACGGGTTTAGCCTAGCTCGTCACCACGCAGATGGCTGCTCTACTTCTGATCTAGCCCTCTGCTAACGTGTCTAAGCAAACAACAGAAGCACGACGTAAGCTCTTGGGCCGGTGATGGCCACACAGGAGGCCCAAAGCTCCTGGTGTCTGCTGTAGCCTTGCCCAACCCTGGCCAACGGCCATCTGGGAACAAATTTTGGTTTTTGGTCATTCTGACAGGAATTAAGTGATATCTGTGATTTTTTAAAGATTTATTTATTTTTACTGTAAAATCAGGTTTACAGAGAGAAGGAAAGCCAGAGAGGAAGATCTTATGTCCGATGGTTCACTCCTCAAGCGACCACAATGGCCAGAGCTGAGCCGACGCAAAGCCAGGAGCTTACCCAGGGTCTCCCACGCGGGTGCAGGGTCCCGGGCCACAGGCGGGGAGCTGGAGGAGCAGTGGAGCAGCCTGGATAGGAACCGGCACCCATATAGGTTCCCGGCATGTACAAGGCAAGAATGTTAGCCACTAGGCTACCGCGTTGGGCATGTGGCTATGATCTAGTTTGGATTCCCCGAGGCTGACGATGCCGAGTGCGTTTTCATTTGCCCATTGGACATCTGCTCCTTTTGAGAGCTGGAGTCCCCGAGCTGTTACCTACAATGGGAAACTTAATCGTGTGCTGCTTAGGATCTGTTAGACTAACGCAGGGCTGGCGGGGTGGGCGTGTGGGGGCTGCAGGCGAAGACAACTTTCAAGTTGATAAATGGGTACTTTCTACTTCATGTGAGAAATTTTCAACTTAAAATTTTTTTTCAAAATTTTATTATAAGCATTTTCAACCATTTGGACCATTTGAAAAGGACTGTCCTGTGAGCAGTCACATCCACCTACAACCCTCAATGGCTATGCTTTGTTAGAAGTCGTCTATTACCTATCTGTGCGTATAGAAAAAAACAATGAAAAACTGCATTTACAGGGCCCAGCGGCGTGGCCTAGCGGCTAAAGTCCTCGCCTTGAACACACCAGGATCCCATATGGGCGCCGGTTCTAATCCCCGCAGCTCCACTTCCCATCCAGCTCCCTGCTTGTGGCCTGGGAAAGCAGTTGAGGATGGCTCAAAGCCTTGGAACCCTGAACCCATGTGGTTGACCCAGAGGAGGAAGTTCCTGGCTCCTGGCTTCGGATCGGCATAGCATCGGCTGTTGCGCTCACTTGGGGAGTGAATCATCAGATGGAAGATCTTCCTCTCTGTATATCTGACTTTCCAATAAATAAATAAATTTTTAAAAAAACTGCATTTACTATTTTAACAAGAGAAAAACATGTCTCATGTTGTCCTGATATGAATGGACTCTGTATTTTACTTATTATAAAATTTCTAAGTCTGGGGCCTGGCAGGGTACCCTAGTGGCTAAATCCTTGCAACACACCAGGATCCTATATGGGCGCCAGTTCTTGTCCCGGCTGCCCCATTTCCCATCCCGCTCCTTGCCTGTGGCCTGGGAAAGCAGTCGAGGATGGCCCAACCTGCACCCGCTTGGGAGACCTGGAGGAACTCCTGGCTCCTGGCTTCTGACAGGCCCAGCTCACAGACACTGAGGGGCATCAAGGGCCTCACTCCACTGCTCACATTACAGGGTGCACCCAGGTCTGTGCCCAGCTTCCAGAGACTGGGTGGTAACACAGTCGTCATGACCAGCAGTTACTTGAAGGGTTATATTCTAGAAGCAACAAGAACTCTAACTCACCATGCTTCCAACTGATGCCATCACCAAAAACCTGCAGCACCGTTTTCACAAAGTCCTTAGCATTGAAGCAAACAACAGGAACCTTGCACCTCAGTATTTGAAGCAGCACGTGCCTACAAGATGAGAAGAAATCACCTCTTTAGGCATTAACGTGGGACTCCTGAGGCAGAAACACACTGCTCCTAATAGCTGAGGCTAGGACAGCACACATGTTCTTTGGGTTCACCTCCTGATTTCCTGGTGGACGTCACTTCCTACCCTGCTGCTGGTGGAGTTCAGATGGCCGTGCACTGAAGGCCACTGGGGTATCAGTCACTGCAACACCACACCATTGTGTCCGCTGCTTTCCTGTGTCTGTCAGTCTCCAGGTGCCCCTCTGCTGTTCTGTCCTCTCCCATTTCCTGGAATGTGTCCTCTCTGCTTCTCAATGGCCAACGCGTCTCTTTCTGTTTAAACGTGTCCTTACTCTATTCTGCCATCTTGATTCTCTCTTCCCTTGCTGGTCTGTTTAATTTGATTTGAGCAGAGACAGAGCAGCAGTTCCAGAGGGGCAGTGCAGGAACAGGGTGCATTTCACAGCCCAGTCTGCCTTCCTCCTCCGTATCGGGCACCATTTTGTTTAAGGAGTCAAGGGCTATGGACAGTAGTGCGCATTTGCTGAGCTGGGAGTGAACTCATTTCTGGCTCAGTGAACTGCAACAACATGGCATCCTACAGGTTCCACCCAAGACAGGTCCTGTGGCCCTCAGACCTGACGGCCAACAGGTTCTGGCAAGCTCAGCAGCACCAACAGCCTAGCTATCTAGGACACCTGGTGTCTCCCTCCCTAATCCTGGGACCTGCTCCAACCGGAAGTGGGAGAAAGGCTGTGCAGACAAAGGTGCAGCCTCAGCACATATCACAGGAGGTGGAGACGGGTGGTCCAGGAGCTGGGGCTACAGAGACCATGGTGGAAGCCTAACACAAGAGCTCAGGCCTGAAACTCGCTGGAGAGAGTGGCGCAAGTGACTAAAAGAACTGAGTACTGAACACAATCAGTAAAATCAAACTGCAGACCTGTGGGTGACACAGCTTACAAACCTGCCCCAAGGAGAAGACTCTGCTAACCAGAAGTACAATGACCAAGAGCAAAAGAAGAGACAGAGGCACAATCAATATTACTGAAGACTCCACTGCAAAGGAGCAAAAGCCTTTGCCAACCTCAGAGTTCACAGAGGAGGACATCGAGAAATGGGAGATACAAAATTCAAAACACTTTATAAAGCTTCTTATCAACAACGAGAAGCATGTAAAGCAGGTGCTCAGGGAATTTAAGGACTATGTCACTCAGGAAATGAATCAAATGAAAGTGGCTACATCAGAAATGAGTAATACAGTGGAGCAAATTAAAAGTACAGTGGAGAGTCTCAAAAACAGAATGAATGAAGCAGAAGAAAGAATCTCAGAATTGGAAGATATTTCCTGTCACTAGCAGAAAAAACAAAAAGCTGGAAGCAGAGCTGGGTCAAGGTAAAAATAGTATTCAAGAATTGAAAGACACTATTAAAAGGCCAAACATAAGAGTTACGGGAGTTGGGCCCGGCGCGGTGGCGCAAGTGGTTAAAGGTCCTCGCCTTGCACGCCCGGGATCCCATATGGGCGCCGGTTCTAATCCCGGCAGCCCCGCTTCCCTTCCAGCTCCCTGCTTGTGGCCTGGGAAAGCAGTCGAGGACAGCCCAAAGCTTTGGGAACCTGCACCCGCGTGGGAGACCCGGAAGAGGCTCCTGGCTTCGGATCGGCATAGTATCGGCCCGTTGCGCTCACTTGGGGAGTGAATCATCGGACGGAAGATCTTCCTCTCTGTCTCTCCTCTCTGTATATCCGCCTTTCCAATGAAAAAATAATAAAAATAAATCTTTAAAAAAAAAAAAAAAGAGTTACGGGAGTTCCAGAAGGTGCAGAAAGAGAAACTAGGTTTAAAAAATTTGTTTAATGAAATAATAAGGGAAGATTTCCCTAATCTAGAGAAAGAATTTGGAAACAAGATCCAGGAGGGGCACAAAACTTCCAACAGGCTTGATCAAAAGTGATCATCACCACAACACATGATCATCAAGCTCTCTTCGATTGAACATAAGGAAAAGATCCTGAAATGTGCTCATGAAAAGTTCAAGTGACATATAAAGGAATGCCAATTAAATTTACATGAGATCTCTCCAGGAAACTCTACTGCTGGGAGGACAGCGGGCTCCCCACGCCCCACTCTGTTAGACATCTCCCATCACGGGGTGCCCAGCTGCCCCTTCCCCAGTGACCTGCTTATGATGTCTGTCAGCCACATTTGCGGAACAAAAGGCCGCTAGAGTAAAAAAAATTAAACTTGACCTGAAATCTCAGGGCAACCTACAAATTCCATTCTGTTGTGACCTCAGTCTCCTCAGACACAGAACAGGTGCAATGGGTCCTGACACAAGAAACAGCATGACAGAGAGAGGGAACAGTGTGACAGACAGAAGGAACAGCGTAACGGAGAGGGAACAGAGAGATGGAGAGGGAACAGCATGACAGACAGAAAGAACAGCATGAAGGAGAGGGACCAGCGTGACAGAGAGAAGGAACAGTGTGAAGGAGAGGGAACAGCATGACAGAGAGAAGGAACAGCATGATGGAGAGGGAACAGCATGACAGAGAGAAGGAACAGCGTGATGGAGAGGGAACTGCATGAAGGAGAGGGAACAGAGAGCTGAGGAGGATGCACATGTGCAGAATATCTTACCTGGGCAGTTACCTAATGCATTTTGTACATTTTCTTTGTATATATTAATTTAAATATAATTTAAATTCATTTTTTAAGAATTACTTATTTTTTATTGCAAAGTCAGATATATAGAGAGAGGAGGAGAGACAAAGAGGAAGATATTTCATCAGATATTCACTCCCCAAGTGAGCGCAACAGCCAGAGCTGTGCCAATCTGAATCCAGGAGCCAGAAGCCTCTTCTGGGTCTCCCATGTGGATGTAGGGTCCCAAGGCTCTGGGCCGTCCTCCACTGCTTTCCAAGGTCACAAGTAGGGAGCTCAATGGGAAGCAGGGCCACCGGGATTAGAACAGGTGCCCATATGGGATCCTGGTGCATGCAAGCTGAGGACTTTAGCCACTAGGCCATCACACTGGGCCCCATTTTTAACCTAAAAATACTGTAACAGAATTAGGATTGCTTTAATTTTACGATATGTGAGGCACTGTCACCACGTAATTACTGCCTCAATTAATAATAATGCTGAACAGAAATATCAAGCACCTGATTTGTGGCACTGGTCCTGAATCTGGGGATACAAAAGTGAAACCAAAACCAAACCACCATCTTGTGGATTTAGAGATAGACACAGAATAAACAAGTCAGTCACACACACAGCCTGAGATTGTGGCACAGTGGGCTACGCCGCTACTCAATGCCACTGTGACTCCTCTGCCAAGCTTCCGATCCAGCTCCCTGCCAGTGCCTGAACATAGAGAGAAATGGCCAAGTGTCTGGGTGACCTGGATGCACGGCGAGGCTCCTGACAGCCTGGCCTCGCCCTGGCCATCATGGCCATCTGGGAAGCAAAGCAGCAGATGGAAGATAGTCAGTTTGCTTTTCAAATATCTCCATGCGTATTCTTCTAGTGAGGACAGGGTGTGAGGCAGGCGCTGTGTGCCCGATGTGGGCTCTGCTTTACTCAGGTAGTCAGGAAGGCCTGGCCTAAAAGGTAACAAAGACATGAAGGGCTGAGGCTGCCATCATGGCAGAGTAGGCTTAGCTTCCGCTTGTGGTGCTGGCATTCCACATGAATGCTGCTTCATGTCCTGGCTGCTTCACTTCCCACCCAGCTCCCTGCTCACAGCCTGGGAAAGCAGTCGAGGACAGCCCAAAGCCTTGGGACCCTGCACCTGTGTGGGAGACCTGGAAGAAGCTCCTGGCTCCTGGCTTTGGATGGGCTCAGCTCCAGCCACCACGGCCACTTGGGGAGTGAACCATCGGATGGAAGATCTTCCTCTCTGTATATGTGACTTCCCAATAAAAATAAATACACATTTACAAAAAAAAGATATGAAGGGTAAAGTGAACAAAAGTCTAATTGTTCCTTACAGAAAGTTTCATTCAGTAAATTTGGAAGAAATTATAGAGTTAAAAAGGTGACCATCTCATCAGCCTGAGTAACTGAGATGACATTCAAGGCGCAAAACCACAACGGAAGCTTGCTGGGAAGTGTACAGAACATCCCAGTGCTGCCATGTGACCCCGTGGACCCCTCAGGAACACGGGGACAGCCCAGCCAGTGACCAAGAGCCACCAGAGAAGACAGGATACTCTGTGACGTCTGAACTTTGGGAAAAGTTCATTTTTACCTGAAACATGTAAATATTTTTTAGCAATGTGATCTTTCAGTATTTCTTGTGAACATCTGGGACAGAGTTATTCTAAAATATTAGCCGTTGTTTATGTAAAATTCACATTTAGTGTCCTGCACTTTCTTTTGCTAAGTCTGGTCACTGAGTCCATCACAGAGCATGGAGCACACAGCAGCACCCAGGAAGTGACTCCCACAAGGAGGTCAGCGCTCTTAAGCCATGGATCTTCTGTAAATGAGACGACGAGGTGGGCACGCTGGCCCAGGAAGAGGTGTGACAGCCTAGGCTGCGGGTGGACTGAGCCCTTCCTCTTCCCACTAGGCTGACAACGTAGACAGTCCTGAGACGACCAAGCAGCTTCAAATTTGGACTGAGTACTCAGTCCACTGCGGCTACACAAAGAACAAAGGTGCTGCCCTCTAGTACTGAGTCTGGAGACATCTGAGGCTAAATCACGTGTGGGGTTTTCTTTAATTTCCATTTTTCCTCCTTCGAGAGAGATGAAGGCGGCAAGGGGAAGCCTTCACAACTGTTATTCTCTACTTTCATGTTCCACAGTTCACTTCCTGTCTGCTTAGAAAAACATCAGGGAACGAAGCATTCTGAGAACACTGTGGCCAGTGGCCAGCTGAGCAAGGCCTTGGGTGAGGATCTACAGGGTCGGGAACGGAGAGGCCTCGCAGGCCAGCCCAGCACCTCTGCTCGCAAGAGGCCTGAGCAGGGTGCTCTGAGAGCGCGTGCAGGGGTGTGCAACGAGGTGACCTGACCAGGTGTGAATGGGCCGACCATGGCCACCGTGTTGGAGACAGACCAAAGGGCCAGGAGGGAGTGGAAGACCTGAGCTCGAGTCCTGGTTCCAGCTACAGCATGCTGTGAGGAGCCACAGATCAAAATCCCCGTCTTCATCTTCCTTTCAAACAACTTAGAGAAATTACAGGGAAGGCATCTGGCCCAGTGCTGAGGCTGCCTTGACACATCACGTCCATCCGAGTACCTAGCTTCAGTTTGCATCGCCGCCAACACAGGCCCCAGGATGAAGTGGTGACACCCAGGTGGCTGGCTGCACCCTGCCAAGCATGTGGTAGACCTAGACCTCATGAGCCATGCCTGCTCTGGCCCAACCCACCCCTACTATTTCAGGCATTTACAGAATGAACCAGTAGATTTGAGTGTTTTTCCTATCTCTGCAATAAATTCAACAAATGGGTAAATTTTCTTTTAATGAAAATTAAATGGGCCCAGTGAGATAGCCTAGTGCTTAAATCCTCTCCTTGCATATAATAGGATCCCAGATGGGTGCCGGTTCATGTCCCAGCTGCTCCACTTCCCATCCAGCTCCCTGCTCACGGCCTGGGAAATCAGTGGAGGACGGCCCAAAGCCTTGGGACCCTGCACCTGCGTGGGAGACCCGGAAGAGGCTCCTGACTCCTGACTTCAGATCAGCTCAGATCCAGCCATTGCAGCCACAGCGGGAGTGAAGCAATGGACAGAAGACCTTTCTGTCTCTTCTCTCTGTAAATCTGCCTTTCCAATAAAAAAGAAATCTTTTTTTTTGTAACAGAAATTAAATAAAAATAAGGCTAAGAGTTTCTTGGGAATACATTCATGTTTGCCAAACGTTGTCACCTTCTCAAGTTACCCTGAAGTCACTGTGAGCCCAGTGGGCCTGGACGTGGCCTGAAAGGACAGTGGGAGCCCCACCATCCTCAGCGTCCTTGAACTCCCCTTCAGGGTGAGCCACCAGGAGCTGCCCAGGGTGATACTGACCTTTAGCCGGAGGCCTGGGCAGGTCGGCCCAGCCGGGAGGTAATGAGGAGGGCTCAGAGCTCTTCCCGGTGCCAGCTACACTGTCCTGCGTGCTAAGAGAGCAGACTCCGTCTGCAGGCTGCAGCTGTGAAGTCCGTCCTAGCCTTAAATCCTCCACTTGCTGGTTCCCACTTGCTGGTTCATTCCCAAGCGACCACAACAGCTGGCGCTGGGCTGCTTCCAACAGGAGCTTTTCCTGGGTCTCTCATGGAGGTCCAAAGTACAGGGGTGCAGGTGATGCAGGGGTGCAGGTGATGCAGGGGTCCAGGGGCTGCAGGGGGTGCAGGGGTGCAGGAGTGCAGGGGTCCAGGGGGTACAGGGGTGCAGGTGATACAGGGGGTATAGGTGATGCAGTGGTGCAGGGGGTACAGGGGATGCAGGGCCCAAGGACTTGGCCACTTTCTGCTGCTTTTCCAGGCACATTAGCAGGGCACTGGATCACAAGTGCAGCCGCTGTGATTCCCATGGTCACACAGGATACTACCGTCAAAGGCAGCAGCTTCACGCGCTACACCACTGTGTCAGCCCTGACGTGATGTCTAATGCAGTGAGGGAGCACGCGAGGGTGCATGTGCGCATGCGTGTGCTGGGGAAATCCCAGCTGGGATCCCGGCCACTGCGGGGCCTGGGCTGCGGTTCTCAGCATGTCATTCTGAAGTGGATTCTAAGAAGGAATGCAACCTCCAGTCCAGAGGCTCTTAGGAGAAGACTGGCTTGGCATTTGTGTAGGTTCCTCACTTTTTTAGAGTCATTTCATTTCAGACCAAACTTAAAGCCCTGAGCAGTGTGTCCCGGGCTGGGGGCTTGGGACAGGTGCAGCACCTACGCAGGGTGTGGGGGAACCAGCACAGACTTCTCACCTGGCAAACTGCAGCTGCGCCTCCTGCTCCGGGCCCCCGGCGGGAGAAGGCGCTGTGTGTACATACACGCACCAGCCGTGCTGCAGCATGCCCCTCGAGGCTGTGGCGGCTGGACGGGTGTGGCTGCCTCGCTCCTGGCCCTTCAGGAACACCACGATTCCTTTGACAGAGGACAGGAGAGCCTGCAAGCAGAAAGCAAGTAAGTTCAACACCAACAGCGACAACAACATCTTGAGGGAAGACACACCACACTTTCTAATAAAGCAGAGAGAAGACATAGAAACAGCTAGTAAATGCACAGCTGTTTCAGGGATCACGAGCACTTTCCACATCCGACCCCTAAGATGTTTCAGTAACCGAGGTCTGAGCCAGCCCGGCACAGAAAACAGGGGAAGCATGTGGGTCGGAAAGGCGGCATTCTGCTGTCCCCGGTGCAGAAAACAGGACTGTCTCTAGAGAAAAGCTGCAGGAGGCTTTAAAAATGCTGTAAGGAGGATGTGATTTAGCAAGGAGAGATCAAAATGCAAAAGTTGAAAATCTAATGTATTTTTACAAGTACATACTAAAAATAAGCATGTGAAAGTTAAATTTTTAAAAACACATTCTAGAGAGGTATCATCTCCCCAGGTGGCCACAATGCCAAGGACTGGGCCAGGAGCCAGGGGCTTCAGCTGTGTCCCTATGGGGACAAGGACTGGGCCAGGAGCCAAGGGCTTCAGCTGTGTCCCCACGGGGACAAGGACTGGGCCAGGAGCTGGAGCCAGGGGCTTCAGCTGTGTCCCCACGGGGACAAGGACTGGGCCAGGAGCAGGAGCCGGGGGCTTCAGCTGTGTCCCCACGGGGACAAGGACCCAAGCACTGGGGCCACCTTCCCAGGCCATCAGTAGGAATCCAGATCAGAAGTGGAGCAGCCGGGACTTGAACCTGGGTTCACAGTGAGTACAGTGCTGCTGCGCCAACAGCACTGGCCCCTAAAATGAGAGTTTCTTTAAACATATCATATACATAATATTCTGCTTTAAATCAACAAAACATGTACCACTCTGTTGAAGACTGTGATATGCTGATGAGGCAAATCAGACGTAACACGCAGCAGACTGACCATACGAACTACAGCTTCTGGAGGACGAGCCTGCAGACGGGCAGCCTCTCTCCCCAGCCTTCCCAGCTCACAGACAAGTAACGTGAGGGCCCACCCAGGGTAACGGCCCGACTAGCTAATCCTCCCTTCAAGTGCCGGGAGCCTCTATGGACACTGTCCGATGTCCTGGGCGCTCCACTTCCCATCCAGCTCCCTGCCTGTGACCTGGGAAAGCAGTCGAGGACGGCCCAAAGCCTTGGGACCTGCACCCACGTGGGAGACCCGGAAGAGGCTCCTGGCTGCTGGCTTCAGATGGGCTCAGCTCCAGCTGTTATGTCCATTTGGGGAGTGAACCAGTGGATGAAAGATCTTTCTCTCCTTCACTCTGTAAACCTGCTTTTCCAATTTAAAAAAAAAAAGTAAAAATCTTAAAAAATAATAACTTTTGAAAAGTCAGATACGAGCACAATGTACTTTTATTGTGCCAGACAACACCACAACCCAGTGACTGACCTGGTCGGCCCTGAGCTGTGTTGAGCCATCCCTGTATAGCAGAGTGGCCACCACGGCTCCTGCCTGTTGGAGCATTCCGAGAAGCTGTTTTCTGGTCCAGTCATCCAAGTACCTAGTATCACCAAGGCCTCCTTCATGGGCTCCTGAGGCCCCTGCGTCCGGCTGGGTCTCAAACTCATCCACACCTCCGTCCAGCACCGTCTGCTTCTGTGCTCCCTCTGAGGAATTATTACATGCACCGTGTTTCCTTTTATTCTCATTTCCATTTCCTGTTAGGAAACGCCTTCGTGCACACTCCGTGTCCTGCAGGGCGGAAGCCTCTGGACTCCACTGTCTAAGCAGACACCTGGAGAGAGCCGGGGAGTGGCCGCTCTTCTGTGGCCGATCCGTGGACAGCTGCTCTGTCAGCCAGATGCTGGAGGACGGGGCAGACGGCTCCTGGGGACTGCCTGAAGTCTGGCCTACCAAACAGCAGGGATTCTACAGAGAAGAGGAGAAGACTCAGAAGGCAGACGTGGAAACAGTGTGATCCGCAAACGTGGAGACACCAGCTTTGACTCACTAGGACCAAACTTTTTTCCTCAAAGAATTATTTTTTATTTATTTGAAAGGCATTAGAGAGAGGGGTAGAAAAACTAAGAGATCTTGCATCCATGGCCACAACAGTGAGGCTGGGCCAGGATGAACCCAGGATCAGGGATGCCCTCTGGCTTCCCTCATGGTTGGAAAGAGCTCAGGCACGAGGGTCACCTCCTGTTAGCAGGAGGCCAGGCGCCAGGGCCACCTCCTGTTAGCAGGAGGCCAGGCGCCAGGGTCACCTCCTGTTAGCAGGAGGCCAGGCGCCAGGGCCACCTCCTGTTAGCAGGAGGCCAGGCGCCAGGGCCACCTCCTGTTAGCAGGAGGCCAGGCACGAGGGCCACCTCCTGTTAGCAGGAGCGCGGGTGGTAGGGTCACCTCCTGTTAGCAGGAGGCCAGGCGCCAGGGCCATCCTGTTAGCAGGAGCAGCTGATGGGAGCTGGTGGGAAACAGGGCAGACCCAACTCAGACACACCCGTGTCACAGGAAGGGCTTGCCTGGTGCCCGGCACACCAGCCCCAACCAGCCGTAAAGATCATAAAGGGTCCCCCAAAGAAGCGACGTTCCCAGCCATGTCTGAGCCATGGCTAGAGCAGGCTTCTCTTGGGCCAACATCAGGGCACAGGTGTGCCCCGTGGGCACCTCACGTCGGCATGTCAGTCTCAGCTGATCTGCCCCTATTCCAGGTGAGCCCAGATGCCCAGGCAGGAGACCAAGGTAGAATTTTGGGTTCCCACCTTCAGCCTGGCCCAATCCTACTGCTGTGGCATTTGGGGAATGAGCCCTAGAGAAAAATTTTCTGTCTTTGTAAGTTGCCTTTCCGATAAAAATAAATAAGTTATTTTGAAAATTTTTCTGGGATGAATATCTGAAATTTCAACTTTATATCAGGAGGCATAAGGCGGCAAGAAAGAAAACATAAATGCTTGAAGCCCTCTGCCTTAGAGATCAAGGAGCAAACCCTCAGAGCGGGGGGATTCCTTCCGGTTGTTTCCAGAGGAGAGAGGAATGCCCCCTCTGTGACGTCCACAGGTCCTCACTGTCCCATCCCACCCAGGAGTCTCGGGGAGCGCTCAGTCAGGGGGCTGGCCCCACATTCCACCCAGGAGTCTCGGGGAGCGCTCAGTCGGGGCGCTGGCCCCACAGTCCACCCAGGAGTCTCGGGGAGCGCTCAGTCAGGGGGCTGGCCCCACAGTCCACCCAAGAGTCTCGGGGAGCGCTCAGTCGGGGCGCTGGCCCCACAGTCCACCCAGGAGTCTCGGGGAGCGCTCAGTCGGGGCGCTGGCCCCACAGTCCACCCAGGAGTCTCGGGGAGCGCTCAGTCGGGGCGCTGGCCCCACAGTCTACCCAGGAGTCTCGGGGAGCGCTCAGTCGGGAGGCTGGCTCCACAATCCACCTCTGTCTTCTGACCTCCCCCCTCTGCTGCCTAGTCCAGACCATGCAACCCAGCCACTGTCAACTTACACCCGTGCCTTTCTGAACTCCCACCAAGCTCTCCCTCTTAAAGCAACGCACGAGTTCGACGTCCCACCCGCTCCACACCGGCCCTCAGGCTGACTCCTGATGCTCCCACACATCTCAACTCAGTCTTCACGCACCCCCGCCCCGTTGCTCCCAGAGCGCTCCCAGCAGGCTGCTGCCATGGCACCCAGCACAGCACACACCGTCATACAGACCTAAGGTACTCCTCTGTCTCCCTGCCCCATCCAGAGCAAACTGAGCCGCTAAGTGCCAGGACGCCGTTACCAAACATGAGAATAATCGCAGGCCACTGGCATGGGGCTAACTGGGTGAGGCCAGCCACTGGCCGAGCCTTGGGCTCCTCTGTGACGGTTACCTTCTGCCCGGGCGACTCTTTCTTCCCACCTACATGGAGGCCTGAGCACTCAGCACCAGGCTCGCTGTTCACTCCTGCAGCTTTAACAACAAAAAAGAAACACACGGAAATCTGTTATATAGTTAACAAAACAACCTCCAAAATCATGCTATTTATTCACTATTTAACAAAATTAAAATTCACAACCAAAATGTCTATTACATTGCATGATTATGTAAAGTACATTAAATTAACTAGAGGCAAATCTATGTGACTATTAAAACCTAGTAAAATCACTTATGTTAGAACACTTGATTCATATGAACACTTTTTTCTTTAAAGATTTCTTTATTTTTATTACAAAGTCAGATATACAGAGAGGAGGAGAGACAGAGAGGAAGATCTTCCGTCCGATGGTTCATTCCCCAAGTGACTGCAATGGCTGGAGCTGCACTGATCTGAAGCCTGGAGCGAGGAGCCTCCTACACGGGTGCAGGGTCCCAAGGCTTTGGATCGCTGCTTTCCCAGGCCATAGGCAGGGAGCTAGATGGGAAGTAGAGTAGCCGGGATTAGAACCAGCGCCCATATGGGATCCTGGTGTGTTCAAGGCGAGGAGTTTAGCCACTAGGCCACCACATTGGGCCTTGATTCTGAAAACCCAAAGTCAACATTTTTATAGAAGTCTTGTTAACTATTAAAGGTTTGGGGAAATTCTTAAACTGAGTAATATTGTAATGGAACTATTAGAGATTCTATAGAACATAATTTATAAAAACTATTCATCACACAGTGACTAACAGACCAGAAGTGAACCTGACGCGTTATGACTTGGGTATCTGTTCTTAACCGCTGGCACGGGCGCTCTTGTCCCAGCCGCTCCACTTGGATTCAGCGTCCTGCTAATGTACCGAGAAAAGCTACAGAAGATGCTCAGATGCTCAGAAGACATGCAAGCAGCTCCCAGCTCCTGCCTTGGACCTGCCAGCTCTGGCCACTGCGACCATCTGGGCAGTGAACCAGCAGATGGGAGATCTCCTTCCGTCTCTCTCTCTCTCTTTCTGTACATCTGCCTTTCAATTAAAAAAAAATCAAAGTACACATGCAGTACAAAATTTATGAAAATAGACAAGAACGGTAACTTAGAAAAAAGTGCCTTGTACCAGGCTGAATCTGTCCACATCTTCCACTGGCAAATCCAGGCATCAGTGTGGGTCGACCCAGGTTTGGTTGCAACAAAGACTAGTGCACAATATGGAATGCCGAGGTGAGGTTGCCTGTACCAGAAGGGGCCGCAGTGCCCAACCAGCCTGAGAACAAGAAACGAAGTGGGCAGAGCTGGCAGGGGAATAAGGGAGGGTTCCTTTGCTGCACAGCTACTTCCACAGGAGAGCATAGGCTGGCATGGGGGCAGACCAGACTAGGCAGAGCTACCACACGTGTGCACCTCATGTGGACTAGATCAGGGAAAAGCCGGGCTGGGCGGATTATTCCTACTGGTGCAAACAAAATTAAAGTGGACGAGGGCTGTTTGGGCTTAGACGCTGCATCAGCTGGAATCTGGGAGTGGGAGAGGCCTGGGAGGGAAATAGTGGGCTCATCCCTCTTGGGTTTCCACTTCCACAGGAGGACATAAAACTAAGATAGCGGCTGGGGTGGAATGGGGTGTGGCACAGACTGGATTACTGCTACACTTACTGACAAACCAGGATAGGGGGCGGGCCTGGTGGGGGTTATTGTGGGTCGCTCGGACTAGGTTGCAGCTCCCACTGGTTTATGTGAGGGCCGAGTATGTGCTGGGCAGAACCAGGCTGGACTGCGACACCCATTGGTTCCAGTGGAAGTTGGGAGTGAAAACAAAACCAACCCAGCAATTGCAACCACCAGCTGATTGGGGCGATGGATGGTACCAGGCCCTGTACTTGTTAGCACATACAAGAAGTTTCTTTGGAGATCTTCCTAATCTAAATGCTGGACTCAGAACCCTAACGAAGAAAAGAGAGAAGACAGAACAGGTCAACCAACCATCTCAGCTATGATGGACTATGTCAATCAGTGGATTTTTCAAAGACCTCATAGTGCTTGGAGTGGCAAGATTGGCAGCGATTCATAACTGTTGCAATATCAAAACCACTTGAGCAAGAACCTCAGAGCATGCCCTACATCCGGGACCTGGGGAGGGTGGGAAATTGGGTGGGCCTTCTCCCTTAATACGCCCCGTTAAACATGAAGGTAACAATATGGAAAACATACTAGTATTATCCACTTTCCTGTAGCCCTTGAAACTTCTTACCCTAATTAACTATGTAAAGAATGTCAAAATAAAATTTTATTAAAAAAAAGTGCCTTGTTAGATAATAAAAAGACTATGAAACTGTAACCAAATCAATTTGATTTGAACAGGAATAGACAGAAGCAATCTAGAAGAGGATAATGCAGAAATGCTGGCAGGCCTCCTGAGAACTCCATGTGTAACAAGGACAGTACATGAACCCAGGCAAGAGAGCTGACTCACTCAGCAGTCGACAAACCCCCCACTGGGAAGACAACGTAGAACAAAAACAAGAAGGCCAACATCTATACCATACAACAGACCTTATCTTGTGACAAGACAGAAAATTCAACAGAAAGATAAACAAAGGATAGGAAGAGGCAACATGCAAAACATCAAATCCAAAAGGCAAAGAAACAAAACACGAAACTCAAACAGCGCGAGTCAGGGTGGTGAGAGCTGCAGCGTCACTGTCCTAGGGCGTCACTGTCAGGGCGGTGAGAGCTGCAGCATTGCTGTCCTAGGGCGTGAGTCAGGGCAGTGAGAGCTGCAGCCATCACCCTCCTGGAGCGCGAGTCACGGTTACTGCAGCCATCGCCACCCTGGAGAGCAACAGACCGCAGCTGCGACTCTGGTTCCATAGGGGCCTGTGGCCTGCAGAGCTCACAGCTGTGCTAGCTCACACACTCCAGGACTCCACAAGCTGCTGCCGGCCTCCAGGGCTGCACCTGGGAGCTGAGGAAGGGCCCCAAGGAATCCCCGACGGGCCTCTGGGAGTATCTGCAGCAGCTTGCATCAGGTGTCAGCGTGGGTGTGTGAGGTCCTTGTGCAAATATATGGGAAAGTGAACCTCAGTGAAAACACCCAGACGAAATAAAACGGCCTTCTAACAAAACTCAGCTGTCATGTAGAAATCTGAGCAACAGTAACAGGCGCAAACCAAAACGCTGTAGCAGTACTGCTCTGTAGCTATCAACCAAAAGGGAAATGGACGGATAAATTATGTAACAACTACATCACAGAATGCATGGCCATTAAAAAGGATGACTTGGCTGTATCAGTTGCCTGAAAACGATGACCTCACTTTTCAGAAACCGCGAGCACAGCTTTGCATGAATACACGTGAAGGCATTACACGTGTACAGGGGTAAAGGGCCGGTCCCCAGGCAGCGAGTCTTTGGGAGAGAGGTGAAGACGTCCCCGGGACAAGTGCGCCCCGCACTGGCGTGCCTGGGCTCTAGCCTCTTGCTAAGGTGCACCCTGGGAGGCGGCAGGGGAGGGCCCCAAGCAGTCGGGTCCCTGACACCCACACGGGACAGTGAGATTGAGTCCCTGGCTCCTGGCCATCGAGGGCAATTTGGGAGTGCACCAGCATAGTAACAGAAGGCCTCTTGGCTCTGGCCTGGACCTGCACACGTGTCCCTTGGTAGTCACAGTGGTCACTGGACTACTGGCTCTGCGGGAGGTCAGCGGGAAGGGCCATCTCCAGTGCAGAGCCACGACTGTCCACAGTACCCTGCTTCACACACCCGGGGGCGGCAAGGCTGAAGAGATGAACCGCATCCTGTCGCCACGCTGGCCTCAAGGCGACAGACCATCCTCCGCTCCACCACCACCCCTCCAGCCCCTCACCCTCACTTAGCACCTGCCCAACACACACAGCTTACCTGACACAGCCGCCACACCTCATCCCTGTCCCTCTGTGGCCACGCCCCTTGAATCTGCTCTGACTTGGGGTGGGGAAGAGGGGGACGAGGTGACCAAGCACATCACCTGAGTGCTTCTCTGCTGCTCGCAGCCGTCCCACCTTCTGAAGCCCAGAGCCAACACCTAGATGGGCACCATATTCACGGTCTGCCAAACTCTCGGCCCAGGGAAACCTGAATGACCAGCTGGCAGCCATGGCATGAAAGTCAACAGCACTCTCCTGGTGCCCGGGGAGAAGGGGGTCCACCTGGGAGCCCGGAGGTGGGGAGGGGTCCCCTCTGGGAGCCTTTAACTAGCAGGACTCTGTGACTGGTGTCTATGAAAGTGATGACCCCTGCCTTTTGGCTCCACACCTGCCCACTGTCCTGCCCAGACTACACCATACCTCTTTCTCAGACCATTCTGCCCTAGGCTTCTGGCTTCCTGGTGTGTCCTGTTTCAGTGGACCAAGGACTCTGTCAATCCCGGCAGACAGGGCTGAGACCCTGTGAGCAGGACAGGCCTGGCACATACGTCAATGCAGACACACCACCTCACCTTCCCGGGCACAGGAGTTCACCACTGTCCACTTCCCAAGAATGACGCTACCGACGACCCAGCATTTGGCCTCAGCTGGCCCCAGCCTCGTGGTCACTGCAGCCCAGAGTTACAGGTCAGGAGGACAAGTCACTGACCTCACAGATCGGGGCCACCTCCTCGGGGGTAGACACTGAGTGGCATGAATGCACTTCACATACCTTCCTCAGGGCCATCGCATGCCTTGTTCCAACAATGCCTGGTGTCGACTCTTCCATGTTTTTCACTCCGGGTCCCTGGTTAACCAGCCAAACTACTCCCCACTGCTCAGTAGTCCAGACTGCTTTGTCCATACAAAATGGGTGGTCAAGTGTACCACCCCAAGCTTTACCACTGGATCCGCCCCCAGCAGCCTTCCAGAGCTTCCTGCATCAGGCTGTGGTGCATCACAGCTGTGTCACTGACCTAATCCATCTTACAGCAACGTGAGCCTGTTTCTCTTTCGTTACTGGTCCCCTCTCCATGAATCGTGCCAACCCAGTACTGCCGATCCATGGAGGCCTGGGCTACCTATTCAGGGAGCTTGGTGGCACCTCCTGGCCT